AAGTCGTACAGATTTCGTCAAAACTTTAATCAAAGCGAAAATGATAAAAGTTTTCTTGCAATTCTCATGTGTTTAGCACCTTTCCTCGTTCGAAAAGTGTAAGCGCCATGTTGAAAAATTCTGCTGTGTAACTAAACTACCATGATGCTTAGCAATTCCGCAATTGGCCCATTACTAAGTTAAAATACCTAAATGTTAAATTACAAGTACATGTCCATGTTCGACTTCAGTTCTCTTTTAAATTCTCTAATGTTATTTACTTCTACAACCGAGCATGGTAAACTGTTCCAGTCACTGATAATCCTTACAAATAGTGAGTATTTGTAACAATTAATTTTGGGTAGTTTAGGATATAAGGTGTATTGGTGGTTAGATCTTGTCCTCTTGGAGTGTCTATATTCTAAAACTTCGCTGAATATTATGCCGCCATTAAGTTCAAATACTATCTTGTAGCACTCTACTAGGGAAAGAAACTTTCTACGTTTTTCTAGTGTGTCCCATTTTAGCAATTTACAACGTTCGTTGTGTGGCATTTCGCCTCGTTTCTGTTTCAGAGCAATTCTCGATGCTCTTCTTTGAACACGTTCTAGGGCTTTCACGTCTTTAACCAGATATGGCGACCAAACTGGCGCTGCGTATTCCAAGACAGGTCTCACCAAGGATTTATATAATGTGGAAAAAATGCTCGTACTTGAAAAACCGATAGTCCGTTTAATTAAACCAACAATACGGTTAGCTTTCTTAACTGTCGAGGCAACCTGATTACTCCATGATAGATCACTAGATACAATTACGCCTAGATCTTTAAATTCGTTCACCACTTTTAGTTTCTTGTCAGACAAGTAGTATTCGGGTATTGATTTATCTTTATGATGAGTTATCCGCATAACTTCGCACTTATCAAGATTGAAGCTCAATTGCCACAAATTTGTCCACTCACTCATACGGTTCAAGTCTGACTGAAGTATTTCCCCGTCGTTCTCTGGGTCCGATAGCTTACGGTACACTTTTGTATCATCTGCAAACAGCTTGACGTGACTTACAATTTCATTCGGGAGATCGTTAATATAAATTAAAAACAGAATAGGTCCTAAAATTGTTCCCTGTGGTACCCCTGATGTTACATTGGTCCATTTCGAATACGATCCCCGAACTACTACTCGTTGTTGACGATTTGTAAGAAAGTTTCTAAACCATTTCAGTAAAGCCCCTCCAATACCGTGCTGTTCCAACTTATACAGCAGACGTTCGTGTGGCACGCTGTCAAACGCTTTACTGAAGTCCATAAAAACAACATCGGTTGCTTTTGTATCGTTTCTAGTCTTTGCCCAGTCGTAGCATAACAATAATTGGGATAAAGTAGACTTGTTCTTGAGATATCCAAATTGATTTTCATTAAATACTTTCCGACTGAGCCAAAATTCAACTGATCTATCCTGAACAATCTTTTCTGCTATCTTAGATATAATAGATGTTAGTGAGATTTGTCGGTAGTTTTCTCTCTTGCATTTCGAATTCTTTTTGTGAATTGGAGCAATATTAGCTAGTTTCCAGTCTTGGGGGAGCATACCCGAGGAAAAGGATTTATTAAACAGGTTCGCTAATCAATTAATTAATAATAGTCAATAATAGTATCTGGGCAGCTATAGCCAGGCTGTGCCAATATCACAGTTCTAGTCAATATTCAGTACAACCACATGAGATGTCTCATCTTGCCTGCTGATCGAGTGTACGTACATACAACTAGCAAAACTTGCAACTGGACTCAGAATTAACAAAGAAATTATATAGCCCTTCATAAATACCAAAAATGAAAATAGCCTGTCAGAATTAATATAAGTACAAAAAATTTTGAGACTCAATTTTAAAAACTGTAGCACTAGCGTTGTTTCTAAAAACAGAAATGTAATATAGGTATGCCCGTCAGGAATATATTCTATGCAAATCCCATATATTTTCTGATAAAGTTTCAAAGTTCTCATTGTTTATAGGGCTGATTGTTCTTCCCAAGCAATACAATCACAATAATTGTGATGAATTTACTCTGTACAAGTTGTAGCTGAGTTGACTCGAGTCATTTACGGCAAATTCAGCAAGTCGAGTCCGAGTCGAGTCATTTGGGGCTGTTGACTCGAGTCGAGTCATTTTTCGTATTGGACTCGAGTCGAGTCGCTGAAAATAGCGACTTGAGTTGACTCGAGTCGGAGTCAATGACTCGACTCGTTACAACACTGAATTTAGTTAATTTTAATTTGCACCCAGAACTTGTAGTAATTTTAGTTATAGTAACATGCACAATATATATATACACAGTTGTAAACTATTCTCCAATTTTCACCTAAATTAAACTAAAGTTTGATTGAATGATACTCGCATATATATCATTCGTTCATTGCGTTATAGAATTGGGTAAGTCTGCTCAGCAGCCAGTATGGATTGAATTGGTCCTAATAAAGCCTGGGGGCATATATAAGCTATATCAGTGATATTTCCTCAGAAAATTTTAATTTTTTTAAAATCCAGAGGGGGTTGACAAAACGTGGACCCCCTTTCTGGACCCCTAATCTGGACCCCATTCTTGACCTTTTAAAAACCAACATACCAAATAACAGACCAGATTGTAGGACACAACTATTTGGATTTCAATCATAACGATGATCGATTAAATTCATTCGACTTTCTGAATCCTCAATCCTGTTCAATATCCAGTCAGGGGCGCCGGAATCAATGTGAAGCGGCGGGGGCAGCCATCCCAAAATGGCACTTGCTTCTCAGCCGTCATTTTTCTGAGCGGCCATATTTGTTAAAACTTCTACTGTATGGATACTCGATTACTTGTGACTATTATGGGTCGGCAAACTTGGACATTAATTTGAACAATTTTATTCGTTGCACTGTGCTAAACAGGGTTCGAAATAACGTACTGAAAATATGTCAAGTTTTGTAGGCTGTTTTGGTAGGTGAAATCTTTGCCGGCTGTTTTCCAAGCAAAGTTTAGTTATGTTCTGGAGTGGGCATAGGCCAAATGATAGTGATGTAAACCAACACAACATTTGTAAGAACACGGCAATACGTCTTATATTATTTGGGGTAGGAACAAACATTAACAAGTTCTGTGTGAATCAGTTCAAAACAATAAGAAAATGTAGTTTTTATAGCTTAATAGAACCGAATTTAAACTTTGTTAAATAATCTATATTAATAATTAAATTCACCATGCAGTCACGATCACTCAGTCATTGCTTCTCATTCCGTCCAGGAGAGGGCCTTCACTCCCACTGAGCAGAGATAACTAGCAGGATTTCTTCACCGGTTCTGGGGCATCTTCTTCGATACATTCCATCTTCATTTTCCTCACACTCCGATTCCTCTTCGCCCTCAGCTCCAACGTCTTTCAACCAATCTCTTAGGAATTCTTCCCTCCCTGTCTCTCTTGTCCTCTTTGATGCGTTTCCTCTTGCAGCATACTGTTTTCGTTTCCTTTGGGTCTTCCTCCGTGATTTATCACTCTTCCAGAGGTCCACAGCGAGCTCTCCAAAACGCTCACAGAAAACGTGCAGGGTTGGACCTGTCACTTTATTGCGCAATAAATCAGTCAAGTTACGTTCATTCAACCTGTTGCGCCAGCCAGACTTGACTACACGCAAGTATGACATGAACGACTCGCAGATTGCATTCCCGTACGGGCAGCAGAGACACAACTCGATCAGTGCCCATGCACAGTTCCCATGCTTCCTCCAGCTTCCAGACACGGATCTGCTTCCAGAGCATAAAATTAGTAAACGGACGCATATTACTTGATTTAGCATTAATTTTACTGCAACTGGTTTAAAATTAAGCAAAGATTGCTTAAACATTGTTTAAAAATAGTTATATATTCCAATTCCTGTGAATAACGCACGAATTTCGAAGTGCAGTTCCGGTGAAAAGGGCAACTTGTTGCCCCCGTGCTGCCCCCGCACTGTTTGGGCAATAGAGACCTTAAGATTGGCGTTTACGGCAAACGTCAAACCGCTAGCGAAGTTTTGGATTTTACAACTCTATTATAATAGCTTTTACACCAGTTTTGAAATATGTTAAACAACTATTAAACTTGTGCTCTTTAGCAATGATTTAAGAAAGCAAATTAACCACTAGTCATGTATTCAGCAAAGCAGTAAATTAAGATTTAGCGTTTGAAGTTTACGTTTGGCGTATAAATTTCATGCTTTAACGACTACAAGCTCTCGTAGCAGTTCAAGCACAGGCGGCCCAATCTCGCAAGGGTCAGTATAGACTTATAGTATAAATGTATATTATATTAATGTATATTATAGTAAAAATATGTCGTAAAATATAAATTTTTAAAATGAAATTGACTTGCCTATTTGATAGTGTGTGTTCTCCTTTTATTCCTCCTTTGTTGGACTAATATTTTCCGAGACTTTGTACTCGATGTTACTAGTATACATGAAACATGATAAAGGCTAACGATTCCCGATCGTCGATACGACGGCACGGCACTTCGAATCGAAAATTCTCACACTCAAATCGCTTTATTCTCAAAACAAATTCGCCAGCATGTACAACAAATGCCGTTCTTTGAAAATACAGAGGTATTTCGGCGAGATGTACAAGTTTTGGACCATATTTTAACAATGGAAATCAAAACCCATTTTATATTGAACTTACCCGGACCGAAAATTACTACGGCGAACGTCTGCGCAACCAGGCCTCCTTTACCGTTGGATTTACAGGGGGGGGAGCAGATATTTCCGGTAACAGCCAGCCAATCACGGCCGCGTAGCGACTGTATACATTATTTGAAATTTGATATTCAAAATAAAAACTCCTTCGATCGGATACTGTATAAAACTCGAGATGTTGTCGAAGAAAAGAAAATTAAACGACGGAGATTGAAGAATTTTAAGGAAGAAGTAATATACAGCGGCTCTTTGTTGGAAAGTATGGTAGAATATGATACTTTAATTCGAAATATTATCGTGAATATATTAGTGGCATCCTCCCCCCTGTAAATCCAACGGTAAAGGAGGCCTGGTTGCGCAGACGTTCGCCGTAGTAATTTTCGGTCCGAGTAAGTTCAATATAAAATGGGTTTTGATTTCCATTGTTAAAATATGGTCCAAAACTTGTACATCTCGCCGAAATACCTCTGTATTTTCGAAGAACGGCATTTGTTGTACATGCTGGCGAGTTTTTTTTTGAGAATAAAGCGATTTGAGTGTGAGAATTTTCGATTCGAAGTGCCGTGCCGTCGTATCGACGATCGGGAATCGTTAGCCTTTATCATGTTTCATGTATACTAGTAACATCGAGTACAAAGTCTCAGAAAATATTAGTCCAACAAAGGAGGAATAAAAGGAGAACACACACTATCAAATAGGCAAGTCAATTTCATTTCAAAATTTATATTTTACGATCGACATATTTTTACTATAATTGCTGCCGTAGGCAGCCACCTATTCTTGACGATGTGTTTTTCTCGCACCAGTCCGTTTCCGGTTGGCCGAGTTATGTATAGCCGAGCGACAACTCGATTTTATTTGCATGAACAGCTGGGCATTTTGTACGGAGCATGCGCGAAAAAATCAATATGGCGACATATATTTATAGGAGTGCTTCGTGTATTTATCTGGTTTTAAAGCTGATAAAACAACATTTCAATGAACAAAAACTTTGTAATATTTAGTGGAAAACATTAAGCTATGCAATCCAAAGGTTTTAAATTAAAAATAAGTACTTTTGCTTTATTTTATTGCTTTTTATGCTTTCAAAATAGGCAAGCTCATTTTTTTTGAAAGAATCTAAACTAATATTTTATCCATCATTTGTTTAATCTGAACAGAAATTAATAGAACAGTTGGCTACATAAGTTATAAAGGGAATTGGTAGCTGATTTGAAAGATTTCAGTATTCCTGGTACACATTTTAGCAAAGAATGACTGTAATTTTAAAAATTAAATATGCATATCAAAAACAATAGTTTTTATTAGAACAACACATAATAAGTTGTTATTTTCTATTTTTACAAAAACAAGTTTCGAAACAGAATCTAGTCGTCCAGTTTGATGTCATATTCCATTTATTTGGATATTTGAATAAAGGAATGTGAAATAATAATTGAAACTTGTCCAAAATTTGATACCAACACTCAAGTGAACAGATACTATCACCTAAAAATAAAAGAAAACACAACTTAAATTTGTCATATAATGCTATGAAAAAGTCTTAGGTACTACAGGCATATAGTGAGCACAATGCTTCAACAAACTCACTAAAATAAGTTAAGTTATGCTATGATAAGAGGATGGCAATATATGACAGCATCAAATGTTACCATCTTCAGTGTCCAAAAAAAGTGCCGCGCGCATTTTTCCCAGCATACCCACTAACTTTTCCATGAAGGTTGACTAATAAGGATAATTTTAAGCCATATTTCGGAGAGAGGCAATGGTAAAAATTTTAAGATATTTTTATTTATATGCCATATCACCACAGAATTTCACAAAGCAAGCATGCCTATATTCAGGATTGCCGTTAGACTCTTAAAACTGAACAAATCAATGCGGCATTTCTTATCTCATAACAACCAATACTTGAACATTTTCAAAAGCATTTTTGCAGCAATTTTTACTTTATAACAAACCAATACAGGAGCAATTTCATAAGCATGACAACATGACATTTTCACTTCACAAGTGGATTTGTCAATTACAACATCTAGCACATTTTTCCCATGAATACCTCAGGTTTTAATAAAACAAAGTATCATTTAACTTTCATAAAATATATGTTCTAACTGAAGGCAACGGCCAGTTTTTACGAAATTGCAAGAGGAATATGTGTCATTTTCATCAAAATATGTATTTTAAGACACTTATTATTCCAGATGAGGAAGAACAAACAAATTATTGAACATACCTGTGGAAACAACAACAACTCAACTTCTATCAAGAGTAAAATATGAACACTTCCTTGTTTCCATACTGCTGTACCCTGCTTCTGAAACTCTGACAATGAGTGAAACATTTCCACTTGTCGCCCATTTGTAAATAAAAATTCTTCGCACGTTTTCATGCGATTACGTCGTTATATCGTTGCGTACAAGCACTACAACTTAATCTTTCAAGAAACACTTTATTTGCCATGAACAAACCAGTAAAAGAGGACAAAAAATCCTCTCACAATGCATATTTTCAGCGTTCGAAGAATCAAAATGTTTGTTAAAGAAATGCGCCCGCAATATTTCACCCGATTAGCGCGTTTGACGCCGGCTGACAGCCGGAAATTTTGTCTCCGATTGCTCGGCTGCCAGCCGGGCTGTACTATAGTATACTGTTCGTTCAAAAAATGCGCGCATTTCGGAGACTGGTTCTAGAATGTTTCATAAGCAGAAAACCACGAAAATTACATTAAGTTTTCCGAAAATCATCGAAATGCATCTAAATTCATCTTCCCAATGCATATAGCTAGCTATACGACAGGTAAACAAACGAGAAAAAAAAACAATTTCGGCAAAAAGAAAATTTCAAATTCGTTTGCGCGCATTCCGGGACCGAACTCGCGGCCTTCAGCATACACGCTGAGTCTTGTCCCTCTGCGCCACCACGTCTTACACGGAAAATATGTTAATTTACTGTATATATACAGGTTATTCTTAGCCAGCGCGATTAAAGATTGCGTAAATATGTACACCATCGTACACGGCCAAGGGTACAGTAGCAGCCGAGCCGTATCTACACTTTAATACAATACTTACAATACATCGCGGCATAGATCACGGCTTCCAGCCGGGGTTATTTAACTGTAATACAATACTACCATGCAATACGAGTGTCAGCCATGCCTGTCGGTAGTATACTGTAGTATACTACGATACTTCATGGCTACCAGCCGACAATACGGCTATCAGCCGGGCCTGTCTGTAGTATACTATAGTATACTACAATACATCGCGGGTACCAGCCGGCAATACGGCTATCAACCGGGCCTGTCTGTAGTATACTACAGTATACTACAACACATCACGGCTACCAGCCGGGGTTATTTAACTGTAATAAAATACTACAATGCAATACGAGTGTCAGCCGAACCTGTCGGTAGTATACTGTAGTATACTACAATACATCGCGGCTACCAGCCGGCAATACGGCTATCAGCCGGGCCTGTCTGTAATATACTGTAGTATACTACAGACACGCCCGGCTGATAGCCGTATTGTCGGCTGGTAGCCGCGATGTATTGTAGTATACTATAGTATACTACAGACAGGCCCGGCTGATAGCCGTATTGTCGGCTGGTAGCCGTGAAGTATCGTAGTATACTACAGTATACTACCGACAGGCATGGCTGACACTCGTATTGCATGGTAGTATTGTATTACAGTTAAATAACCCCGGCTGGAAGCCGTGATCTATGCCGCGATGTATTGTAAGTATTGTATTAAAGTGTAGATACGGCTCAGCTGCTACTGCACCCTTGGCCGTGTACGATGGCGTACGTATTTACGTAATCTTTAATCGCGCTGGCTAAGAATAATCTGTATATATACAATAAATTAACATATTTTCCGTGTAAGACGTGGTGGCGCAGAGGGACAAGACCCAGCGTGTATGCCGAAGGTCGTGAGTTCTGTCCCGGAATGCGCGCAAACGAATTTGAATTTTTCTTTTTGCCGAAATTGTTTTTTTTCTCGTTTATTTACCTGTCGCATAGCTAGCTATATGCATTGGGAAGATGAATTTAGATGCATTTCGATGATTTTCGGAAAATTTAATGTAATTTTGGTGGTTTTCTGCTTATGAAACATTCTAGAACCAGTCTCCGAAATGCGCACATTTTTTGAACGAATAGTATACTATAGAATACTATAGTACAGCCCGGCTGGCAGCCGAGCAATCGGAGACAAAATTTCCGGCTGTCAGCCGGCGTCAAACGCGC